ATCTTCGCAGTTATTTTGGTGAGAGTAACTTAAAGTAAATCAATAGTAATGTAATATTTTACATTTTAAATGCAGTAATATTGTAATGTAACAAATGACTTTGAAATGACAGTAATAAGTCATAAATAACACATTACAGTTTTAAAGTAACTTGCTCAACAGTGTTCAGGATTACAGTGGAAATAATAGTCCACTTTTAGACCTGGTTTAGTCCTGGATTAGACCTGGAATGAGACCTGTCACAATAACACAGTTTGAAGCTCTACATATTTGTAAGGAGAACGAAAATATTGAAACTACTGTATGTCACTGATACAATGAAATTAAAGCCGGATAATCCCAGTAAATGATTTTAAATAGACAAAATCATTTAAAGGCCTGAATAGGAACAAATACAAATCAGAATGAAGCCATAAAAGTGACTTGTTCTTCCCTCTACTGCTCAAATCTTATCGTATTACAACTACGAAAAATAAAAAGTCTCCCCATTATTTCAAAGAAAATGTACTGATAAATATTGAGCCCAAAAATATTTAGTTCCAGTTTTAATATAGTGAACAATAAGTGTATGTAGTATTTAGTGTGACGGCCTTCCTCTAATAGTTGTGTTTTCTCTTTTCTTTGTTGGTACATGTTTATACCAGATTGAACTTTTCTTGTCATTCATGATTTCATCCTTTGGTTTTTCTAAAGTTAAAACAAATCATTCATATTTTATTTCATCTTCAGAGTCATTTATATAAGCTCAGACTTTATACTTTGACTGGTTTTGGAGATAAAAGGTGTGTCCAAATGGTCAATGAACAGTCATATGATAGTTATCAAACATTTATCAGGTTAGACAAAGTTCAGAGACACAGAGGGAGAAGGATCCATCTGAACCATTATTCCAGCTCCAGGATTAAACAACCAAGAAACTCAAGACTTGTGCTTCAGCTGTGAAACCTGCTCTGGGCTTTGGTGAGTGTCTGCGTACACTGGTGTGTGAATGTGTGTGTGAATGGGTGAATGGTTCCTTGTTGTAAAGCGCTTTGAGTGCCTTGAAGGTGGAAAAGCGCTATAGAAAAATGTGACCATTTACCATAAAGCAGGAGTGTCCAAACTATGGCCCGGGGGCCAAGAGCGGCACTCAGATATTTGTACTGGCCCACAGGCCTTCTACTGCTCTGTCCACATGATCTTAGACACTACTGTTTACAGCAAATGTGATTAACTCTACAATTTGAATCTAAAATCAAATCCAAATGGATTGTGATACAGAACTACAATTCATATTTAAGCCTCATTAAAGGTTCAGCAGCTCTGTCCAAACTACAGTCTGTTAAATGCACCTGAATGATCCACAGTATGACCACTTCAAATAAACCTCATGATTAGAATTCTTCATGAAGACTTTGTTTGCTATTGTCTTTGGTTACTGTTTTTTGTTTTGTTTTTCCTTTAACTGTGTGACTGTGTAAAATCTGTCAAATGTGTGAAACAGTCACTATTAGACGACTGAATCCATCAATAAGAGTTTACATGATCCTCATGTTAATATCAGTTTCTCTTCTCTCTTCTACTGTTACTTCAATAAAAATATTACTCAAGTACCCAGAGTACACAAGTACTCAACCCAAAACATGCTCCAGGTCTCCAGGAAGAAGCAGTTGATAGTTCAGGTCAATAAAATACAAACAATCAGTGAACCTGTCAGGGACGACAGGTGCAGGTGTCGCACTGGTGCTACAACCTGCGACAAACATCTCTCCTGTCACTGTCCCTGTCTCACTAAAGAAACCAACTATAAAAACATAAAATAAATAAAAAAGTTCGACTGAAGTAAATATAACTGACTACTGCCCCTCTGTGTCATTGGGCAAGACACTTGAGCCCCTGTCTGTGAATTTTTAGGATAAGTAACTCGGCTTAGGTGGTGTATAACTACTGCTATGATGTAACTGATGTACTGCTATCTTGTACATGAACTGAAACTATCTCTGCATCCCTGATCTGTTTTTGTGGGTCATTGCAGAGTGAATTATAATAGTACAATAATAAAATAGAACAGTACATCAGTTACATCATAGCAGTAGTTATACACCACCTAAGCCTAGTTATTTATCTAACAGTATGAATGGGCTGTTTGTTGGGGTTTACTGCTGGATGGTGCAGATTGGCAGCCTTGCATCAGTCAGTCTGCCCCAGGGCAGCTGTGGCTACAGAGCTATAGATTCTTACCAGCACTAATCAAAGGAGAGTAGAGGAGTTAAACCTGTACTCATGTACAAGTACAATTACTATGAAATATTACTCAAGTACAAGTACAAAGTAGTGGTTCAGGAAAGTACAGGTAAAAACTCCTCCTCGAGTAAAAGAGATTTGAAGAGAAACATCCGATTTTTTATAATTAGAAGAACAAAATAAGAAAAAAAAAGGTTTTGTGTAGTAACTTTTCTGTTGGGAGGGTTGGACCTGCTTGTCTCCATGGAGATGGCATTACTTGGCTAGAATGTTCCATGATATGGCATTAAACTGTCCATGTCAATAGAGACAAGTGGGAGACTTCACCTGGTCGAGTTACGAGTTATATCTGTGGAGAGGTGAATCTGTTCACAGCAGGAATTCATGATTTCTGTTCAGTAATATTTTTATTAGAAATACAGCCAAGTTTAATGCCACACTGTGGAATATTCCAGGCAAAGCAAAACATCTCCATGGAGACAAGCATGTTGTGTACAGAAATGTTACTCACTACACCTTTACATCACCAAGACCATAACACATGAAATATGAATCCATGTCCTGAATGTTTGTGGCTGGATGTTGTTTGAAATTGTAAATATTTGTTTCTAAATCAAATTTGCTCATTGGTCATTTACAGCTGTTTATGTCGTCTACAAACACTAAAACAACTTGGCTTCATTTATTTGAATCATTTCAGATCCATTTGTAACACGTCTTATTTTATGTCCAAGTGTGTGGCCCCGATCTGAAGCTCTGAACTCAGAAAGACAAATGTTGACTCAAATCTAACATCTTTTCTTTGGTGGTACTTGGTGTGAAACGTTGGAGCCACTGGTTTATACTTTTACTGCTTTTATGGTTTTCACTTAAATTCACCACTTTTCCTGTTGAGACTCATTATTTTTAGGGTGTCAAATTATCGCGTTAATTGCGATTAATTAATTACAGTCATTTTTAGCGACGTTCATGTTTTTTAAATAAAGGTGTGTCTCATTTTTAATCTCTAGTTTCTGTAATGCGAGTTGCTTTATTATTAAACCAGTTTTTATGTGTTGTTGGGACAACAGCACACACACACACAGACACACACAAAAAACACATTTATACATTTTTTTATTTCGGTAATTCCACTCATTGTCGGAAACCCACACAAAAGCGGCGAGTAAGAGCGATGAAACGGCACGTTGGCGGCGTCAGTCGCAAATGACGAGGTCGAACAGCCAGTAGAACAGAGAAGCCAACACTTAAATGTCACTAGTGAAAACAACTGCATAGCTCATGATGTCTGCACTACTGTCTATAGTGACCTGCCACATGAGGGACACACACACAAACACAAACAAACACAAACACACACAAACACAAAACACACTTCATCATCGTCATTACCTGAGAAGCGCAGACCAGTTTCCTTCCGTAGAATGCGTGGACACCGATGCTCCCGTGAGCGCGTGTGGATCGTGTTTTCTCGCTACGATGCGTAAACCGCGCTTCCTCCT